CATTCTCAAACATTAAGGCATGCCAAGTTTTCTTGGACCCTGGTTGGCACATATTATGGCCTGTTCTTGCGCACATTTTTACGCTGATGGGCAAATTACAACAAGGAAAATTCAGAGCTCAGATGATCATCATTCAAAAAAAATCTGCAACTACAGAGTTAACACGTAGAGTCTTCTAAGTCCTCTATCTCTCTAACTTTTTCTCCGCCTACTTGGAATCTGCTGACTTTTCTGCTGTTGTTGAGATAAAACTCACTGCTTATGGGATTCCAATCGAGATTTTAAAAAGTAGAAGTTTAAAGGGCTTTCGAATTAATAGCTTTAAAATCACAACTCCTTGGTAACCAACAACCTAGCCACCTTTTAGAAATACAAATTTAGGCTGGGTGTGATGGTTCATGCCTGTAATCTTAGCACTTTGGGAGGCCGAGGTGGGCAGATTGCTTTAGGCCAGGAGTTTGAGACCAGCCTGATCAACATGACAAAAACCTTGTCTCTACTAAAAATACAAAAATTAGCCTGGTATGGTGACACATGCCTGTAATCCCAGCTACTTGGGAGGCTGAGGCATGAGATTCGTTTGAACTCAAGAGGCAGAAGTTGCAGTGAGCCAAGATCATGCCACTGCACTCAAGCCTGGGTGACAGAGTGAGAATAAATAAATAAATAAAATTAGAGTTGTCTAACAATTGTGTATGATGATAAAACACTTATTTGAAAAATTAATAATCTAAAAGAAAAAGGAATAGATAAATGTTTATAAAACATATAGACATAGTCACCCCTGTTCTCTGTTTTTTGAATTGAATGTCAATAGACATGGATGTTGCTATGTTGCCCAGGCTGACCTTGAACTCCTGGCTCAAGCAATCCTCCCATCTCAAACTCCTGAGTAGCTGGGACTACAGGAATATACCACTGCACGGTTCAAGTGATTCTCTTGCCTCGACCTCCCGAGTAGCTGTAGCCGGGATTACAGGCATGCACCACCATGCCCAGCTAATTTTGTATTTTTAGTCGAGACAGGGTTTCTCCATGTTGGCCAGGCTGATCTCAAACTTCCAGCCTCAGGTGATCCACCTGCCTAGGCCTCCCAAAGTGCTGGGATTACAGGCATGAGCCACTGTGCTTGGCCTAATATGAGTCTTTTCTATTTTTTTTCCTCAGTCAATCAGCTAAGGTTTTGCTACTTCATTTGATCTTTTCAAAGAATCACTTTTAATTTTGTAATTTTTCTCTATTATTTTTCTATTCTCTATTTTATTTAACTCCACTCTTATCTTTATTATTTCCTTCCTTTCCTTCCCCCCCCCTTTTTTTTTTTTGCTATTTTTCATGTTCTAATTCTTAAAGTTATACAGTTAGATTATTGATTTGACATCTTTTTTTTTATAGGCATGTAGAACTATAAATTTTTCTCTTAGTAGTAAGCATATTATAAGCTTTGGTAACGTGTTTTTATTTGTATTTATCTAAAACATTTTCTAAATTCTCTTTTTATTTGTCCTTTAATCCTTTGGTTAAGATTGTATTGATTTGGCACAAGACCAAGATTCCTTCTCTTAGTACTCCTATTCAACATAGAAATTCAACTGAATTTCGGCCGGGCGCGGTGGCTCAAGCTTGTAATCCCAGCACTTTGGGAGGCCGAGGCGGGTGGATCACGAGGTCAAGAGATCGAGACCATCCTGGTCAACATGGTGAAACCCCGTCTCTACTAAAAAAAATACAAAAAATTATCTGGGCATGGTGGCACGTGCCTGTAATCCCAGCTACTCAGGAGGCTGAGACAGGAGAATTGCCTGAACCCAGGAGGCGGAGGTTGCGGTGAGCCGAGATCATGCCATTGCACTCCAGCCTGGGTAACAAGAGCAAAACTCTGTCTAAAAAAAAAAAAAAAAAAAAAAGAAAGAAATTCAACTGAATTTCAGTTATCAGAATTTGCCAACATGAAGACAATGGGATTTAGTCTTACAAATTAAGAGAGAAACTGAATGAATTAAGTCATGAAATATCAGATGGCATACAGGATTTAATTTTGAAATTCTTCAATTTTGCTTAGGGATTTCTTCAGCTATGGGAATAGATTTTTGATGATGCTCCAAATTTTAACTGGATCAATTTGCAGTTGGTGTCAGAATGGAGTGCAATTGAGAAGCCTTATGTTCCTGTAGCATCTAAATTTGGCTTAACATTAAAAGAAATCATAAATAGAACCAATATGTTTGCCTTGTAAAGATAATTTTCAAAGAAATGTACCCTTCCTAGACAAGGTAGCAAAAAAAGAGATGTACCTTGAAGGTAAGATATATTAACTGCTAGAATATTAACTGCAATCTAATTTTTCCATATTCAATATTCACAATACTTGTGAGGATATCTCCCATTTCATTGGATATATTCTGAGATTTCTGGTTACCTTAGTATATACAGAGTGTATATCTCAATTTTAAAAGTATGGTGTTCAGAGGAGAGTCATTTGAAGGTAGCTATAATTTCAAGTTTATTAACCATAAAGTCCAACATTGAAGATTACATAAAATTTTATCAAAATTTAAAAATAATAGAGCACATTGAAAGAAAATACTTAAAAAGCATGGTGACATTGGTTAAGAAATTGATTAAAGTATCAGAATATACTTAAATATATTTATTCTGCTTCTGTTTATTCTAATGTTTAGTCAACATAAATAGCTTAAAAATTTTTTCCCTTACTACAAAAATGTTATTTTGCTTTAACATATATATGTTATTGTTTTACCCTTTAGGATATAACATAATATTATAATTAATAAAGGAATTTTTTAAAACACTACATAATTTCAATTGCCTTAGTATTCATACCTTTTCAAATTTGTACTACTTCAGACAATATATTATATACTCAGCTGTTATTTTTAATTTAATTCCAGTTTTGTCAAAGAATATACTTTGTATGACTTGAATCCTCATACATTTATTGAGACTTGTTTTATGGCCCAGAATATGGTCTATACTGGTATGTATCCCCTGTCCACATAGATGAATCCCCTGTCATTGAGGAGAGTGTTCCACAAATGTGGTGAGATCAAGTAAGTTGATATGTTGCTCAAATCTGCTATATCCGGTTGCTTTTCCGTGTTTGTTCTATTAATTACCAAGAGAAATATATTGAAATATCTGACTATAATTGTGGATCTGTCTCCTTTTTGATCTAGCAGGTTTTTCTTCACATACTTAGAAGCTTTGCTTTTAGGAGCAAAATTTAGATTTGTTCTTTCCACTCAATGAACTGTCCGCTTTATCATTATTATGATAAATCCTACTTTATCCCTGGTAATAGTCTTTGTCCTGAAGTTTACTTTGTTTTTAGTAAAGTCACTCCAGCTTTCTTTTGACTAGTGTTAGTATGGTGTATATTTTCCATCATTTTACTCTTTTTTTTTTTTTTTTTTTTTGAGACAGAGTTTCGCTCTTGTTACCCAGGCTGGAGTGCAATGGCACGATCTCGGCTCACCACAACCTCCGCCTCCTGGGTTCAGGCAATTCTCCTGCCTCAGCCTCCTGAGTAGCTGGGATTACAGGCACGCGCCGCCATGCCCAGCTAATTTTTTGTATTTTTAGTAGAGACGGGGTTTCACCATGTTGACCAGGATGGTCTCGATCTCTCGACCTCGTGATCCACCCGCCTCGGCCTCCCAAAGTGCTGGGATTACAGGCTTGAGCCACCGCGCCCGGCCTCATTTTACTCTTAACCTATTCGTGCTTTTCATTTAACATATTACCTGTAGGCAACACATATTTGGGTCTGACTTTAAAAAAAAATCCAATTGGACAATCTTTTTAGTTAAGGTGTTTAGACCATTTACATTTAATGTGGTTATTGATACGGTTAATTATCTTGTTATTTGTTTTCTGTCACAATTCTGGAATGAAAAGACGTTTTGTTCTTTATTATTCCAGGTTTCCTCCTTGTGTAGCATAGGAAACTAGAAAAATGATTTTAAAAGTTCAATATTGCTATACTACAACAGTGAAATCAGGCTCTTTCTAGGAAAAACAAGCCCTCTTTTGCATTGTTTATAGTATTTTAACTAAGTGTTAAATGTTCATCCTTCAAGATAAGGCAAGTAGTTCTTTATGTACTGTTATCCGTTTCCATGTCGTCCTGAATCACATTTTTCTCTGCAGATAACAGGAACATTGTCTCGAAGAATCCAGGACATTTGATTCTGAAATCTCCAGTGTAAACCACACTTCCCCTCCTAGTATATAAGCAATCAATTCTTCAAGCTTTTCAAATTTACCCTGAGTCCCCTTCAAATACCACAGAGAAGTGGAAGCTGGGGTCTGAGATAAAGAGGTTAAAGCAGTTGCATCTTGACATAATTTTACTTTAAGTTCTTTCTTCTTTAAAAGTTCTGCCCATTTGCATTCTTCTCCAAGGAGAGAAAAAAAGTAAGTTACACTGACTCTCCGAAAGGGAAATGCTCCTCTCAGATGGGGATCCTCGTCCATGGCAGCAACCTGTGCACCCCGGGGATTGGCCGGGCGCGGTGGCTCAAGCCTGTAATCCCAGCACTTTGGGAGGCCGAGGCGGGTGGATCACGAGGTCGAGAGATCGAGACCATCCTGGTCAACGTGGTGAAACCCCGTCTCTACTAAAAATACAAAACATTAGCTGGGCATGGTGGTGCATGCCTGTAGTCCCAGCTACTCAGGAGGCTGAGGCAGGAGAATTGCTTGAACCCAGGAGGCGGAGGTTGCGGTGAGCCGAGATCGCGCCATTGCACTCCAGCCTGGGTAACAAGAGCGACACTCTGTCTCAAAAAAAAAAAAAAAAAAAAAAAAAAGAACTCCTACGAATCCACTAGGCTCGGCTTCCTTAACAGTCAGCCCCGGTTGCATGCTGGGGTCAACCTGAGCAGATGAGCGCTCAAGGCTTCTGAGGCTCGTTCTGCTCAGAACTGTATTTCCCAGCGGCCACCGCGCCGATCCACTTCCGGTCTCCAGGGGTTGACGACAGAGTGGGGTAAGATCTTCACGTCCGACAAGAGATCGGTGGCTTCGGGAGGTCACTGCGGACTGGGGCTTGAGCCTGACCAACCCGACAGTGCGGGTGGGTGGGTGAGCGGGCGAGGGAGGCGCTCAGAATAGGAATCCCGGGGTTCGCCTGGCGTGCGTGTGCGCGGGCATCAAAGGAGGGGGACTGTGCGATCATGAGTGACGGAGGGGACTGTGTGTGTGCATGAGGCCCTGTGCACAGGCCCGGGAGTGCAGGTGGACGCAGCGCACTTTGCTCGGGCTGTGTGTATGTCACTGCCTCTAGGCTCCTGCTGCTTCCTCTGTCTTTCCCCTTCACAGCTGAGGGAGCTGCAGCAGAGGAATGGCTCCTCCAGTAGGGAGGTCAGATACTGAGCCGAGAATGAAGCTTTCCACAAGAAGTACAGAAGTGCCCCGAGTGTTCCCCAGGAGGGCAGCTGCAGGTTGAGAACCACAGCGTCCTCAGAGCTCTGTCAACAGGAACCAGCTCCAAACTGGTTATATTGGTTGAACCGATTCCACCTCCTTTTACTTCCTTCCCATTTCATGTGAAGTTAGGGGAATTGTGGCCGTGGAGAGAGGGTGCTTTTAAACTTAGTCTGCGCTCCAAGAAGAGCCTGGAGTCTCACGCTTGCCTTATCCTTCCCCAGTCGTACTATTCAAAAGAAGGACCTGAAGAAGGATAAGAGCATTATTGCACACCTAAAAGTCAAGAGTGAGGTTGTGCTTTGTATTTGTTCAAGAGATACGTTTTTGATTTTAGAATATTGAGGTTCCTGTAAATTTTCAGTGAATCTAGGGGCATATGCAAATTGATTTGTGTCCCCTCCCATCGTGCCCCCTCCCTTACCTTTCCACTTAATATTCACAAAACCATTTGGCAAAATGTTCACACCTTCCTGTGCACTCTCTTTTGCTAAGCTAGTACTGAAAGACATCTCCAGTAGTTAATATTAAGGCTCTATTTTAGAGTGGAATCACATACCAGACCTCTGTTGGTCTTTACAGACCTCCTTTTCAAAACAGGGAAGCATGGAGATGGTTGGATGACTTCAATTCGTCTGTGAGGCTTTCAGGAGTGGGAAAGTGACCACACAGAAATTGGTATCAACGAGTCAGGATTTTTCCAGGAAAGTCCACAGGATGACGTTTGTAATGCTTGCCAGATCTCTCCGAGGTTTGGCAGCCCCAGTCGTGTTTTGGCCATTTGTGTGTGTGTGACTGTGGACTGTAAGAGGCAGTACACTATTGTGGTTAAGAATAGGAGAGTGGATCCAGAGTATCTGGGTTGGAATGCTGGTTCTGTCATTAGAATGAATTAATATTGTAAAGCCCCTTAGAGCAGTGCTAGGCATGTAATAATGTTTAATATGTTTTCACTGTTGTTTTTGTGTGGTCATTTTAAGTCATTCCCCTTGACTTTCTATAGAACAGAAGCATTAGGAATATGTGATTCATTGTGATTGCTGCTTGTACATTAAGAAAATGAGTGAGATGCTCAAATGATCTAGGACAGAATTTTTTTTAAATCGGCAAATACAACTGTATGTATTTATCATATGTAACATGTTGTTTTATGGTATGCATACACTGTGAAATGTCTAAATCTAGCTAATTAACCATGCAGTACCTCATACAGTTACCATTTTTGTGGCGAGAACACTTCCTATCCACTCTCCTAACATTTTTCAAGACTACAGAATATTGTTATTAATTGTAGATACCATTTTGTGTAATAGATCTCTTGAACTTATTTCTTCTATCTTTCTAAAATTTTATATCATTTGACTAACATTTCCCCAGTCAACACAGCTTTCCTTCTCTCCCTTACCCACATTACCCCAGATCTGTAAATACCATTCTACTTTCCACTTCTATGATACCAACTTTTTTAGATTCGGCTGATAAGTGAGATCGTGCGTCTTTCTGTGCCTGACTTATCTCACTTAATATGATGTTCTCCAGGTTTATGCATGTTTTTGCAAATGACAGCATTTTCTGCTTTTTATGGCTAAATAGTATTCCCTTGTGTATATATACCTGCATATATGCCACATTTTCTTTATCCATTCATTCATTGATAGACATGTATGTTTATGCCACATCTTGGCTGTTGTGAATAATGCTGCAATAAACATGAGTGTGCTGATATCTCTTTGACACACAGATTTCATTTCCTCTGGATATATACCCAGTAGTGGGATTGCTGGATCATATGGTAGTTCTATTTCTAATTTTTTGAGGAATTTCCATGCTGTTTTCCATAATGGCTGTGTCACTTTACATTCTCACCCACAGTGTGCAAGCATTCCCTTTTCTCTACATTCTCACAAATGCTTCTTTTTTTTTTTTTTTTTTTTTATTTATTTATTTTTTTATTTTTTTTGAGACGGAGTGTCGCTCTTGTTACCCAGGCTGGAGTGCAATGGCGCGATCTCGGCTCACCGCAACCTCCGCCTCCTGGGCTCAGGCAATTCTCCTGCCTCAGCCTCCTGAGTAGCTGGGATTACAGACACGTGCCACCATGCCCAGCTAATTTTTTGTATTTTTAGTAGAGACGGGGTTTCACCATGTTGACCAGGATGGTCTCGATCTCTTGACCTCGTGATCCGCCCGCCTTGGCCTCCCAAAGTGCTGGGATTACAGGCTTGAGCCACCGCGCCCGGCCTCACAAATGCTTCTTAACTTTTGTCTTTCCAATAGCCACCCTGACACATATGAGGTGATATCTTATTGTAGGTTTAATTTTCATTCCCCTGATGATTAGTTGAGTATTTTTTCATATACTGTTGGCCATTTATATGTCTTCTTTTAGGATGTGCCTATTCAGGTCCTTTGCCCATTTTTTAATCAGGTTTTATTTTTGCTTTTGGTTTCCTCATATATTTTGGATATTAACCTCTTATCATTTAAATGGTTGCAAATATTTTCTCTCATTCTGTTGGTTGTCTCTTCACTTTGCTGTTTCCTTTTCTGTGCAGAAGCTTTTAAGCTTGATATAATTTCATTTGTTCAGTTTTGCTTTTGTTGCCTGTGTTTTTGAGGTCAAATCCCAAAATTATTGCTCAGATCAGTTTCATCGAGCTTTCCCCTCTATGTTTTCTTCTATTTACTTCATAGTTTAGGGTCTTAAATTTAAGTGTTTAATCCATTTAGGCTTGATTTTTGTATAAGGGTTTGAGATAAGGATCTAATTTCATTTTTCTGCGTATGGATACTTACTTTTCACAACAGTATTTTTTGAAGAGTCTGTCTTTTCCCCATTGTATGTTCTTGGCACCCTCCTCAAAAATCAGTTGGTTATAAATGTATGGACTTTTTCTGGGCCTCTCTAGTCTGTTTCTTCCATCTATGTGTCTGTTTTTATGTCAGTATGCTGTTTTGATTACTATAGCTTTGTAGTATATATTGAAGTCAGGTAGTTTGATTCCTCTAACTTTGTTCTTTTTGCTCAAGATTGCTTTGGCTATTTGGGTCTTTTGTGGTTCTATACAAATTTTAGCTTTTTTTTTTTTTTTCTATTTCTGTAAGGTATGTAGGACTGAAATTCTTAACCTGAGTTCCTGTGATTCCATTTATGGTCTCAGAGACCAAAAGCACTTGAAATAAAATATTGAAGCATTATAGAAATTATAAATGTGGGTTTTAGAGGGAGAAGTAGTATATAATTTTATAAGATTATAAAAAATTTATGTGACTCATGAGGTTTGGATCCATTGGTTTAGATAGAACGTTGGTTCTCAGCTGGGGCGATGTTTAGAAACTTTTGGTTGTCACGCTGTTGGGGAGGGTGCTACTTAGATCTAATGGACAGAGGTCAGGAATGCTGCTAAACATTGTATTATGCACAGGATAGCTCTCCCCACTCCCCCAACTTAGAATTATCCAGCACAATATATCAGTAGTGCCTAGGGTGAGAAACCGTGCTTTAGAATCAAAAGATTGTGATATTTGGAATGACATTGTAAATGATCTTGTATAAATTAAGTGTTCTGTAATATAGAAATCATTAAGCAAATCATACTAGACTCAAGTGATAAGAGTATTATGAAGGTAATAAAATGAAGACCCTTGGATGTAGCAAGAGCTTGGTTTCCTCCATACTCCACCTGTTCACTGCCAGTTTATTTGTGAGAGTGTGTGTGTGGGGACAAGGAAAGTGATAAGAGAGGGGTGGAAGTGTGAGTGTTAGCAGGGGTAGTTGAGAAATAGGAATGAAGGATAAAATAGTGATTTGTTTCAAGTCACTCTGGGAGCATTGAGACATACTTGACTTACGGCCTTTTTTGTTGTTTTCCAGGAGAGAAGCTGGAAGAAGGCTGACCAATTTTATAATTCTAAAAACATGGTCCATGTAAGTTGGTATTTTTCTTTTCTCCTTGATATATGGTGACTCTCAGCTTAGGTGACTGTTATTATTTAACCTGAAGCTTCTTACCTAAGGAGCCAAAATCTTACACCCCAGTTTGTCCCATTACAGTGAAGGTTGGTGACAAAAAAAAAAAAAAGTCAGTGTTCTTCCTGTTTGTACCTCTGTTTTCCTACTGGCTTTGATTTTTTTCTTAGAGCAGGTTATTCCACCTGTGCTCTGTGCTCAGACCTTGATCAGGAAGAGTACTGGAACAGTGGAGAAGTCAGTCCCCATAGGGAAACAGGGTTTTGTGGGTTTGATAAGTGACAGATGATTGACCACATTTGAGAACACTTTGAAACTTCACAGACTGGAGCTTTCCAGGTAGCTAAGCTAGAATTCCATAGTGAGTGGCCCCAGTCTGCAAATGTGACAAGGTGATCTGCTTTATGAGGCTTTTAGGAAAATGATCAGTGACAACAGTGGGCAGTGACAGAGAGAAGATTATTTGGGGCATGAGTGATAGATGATTACAGACTCTCTGGCCGGATGTGGTGGCTCACGCCTGCAATCCCAGCACTTTGGGAAACTGAGGCTAGTGGAGGTCAGGAGTTTGAGACCAACCTGGCCAACATGGTGAAACCCCACCTCTGCTAAAAAAAACAAAAACCAAAACAAAACCAAAAATTAGCCTTGGTGGCACATACCTGTAATCCCAGCTACTCAGGAGGCTGAGGCAGGTGAATCACTTGAACCTGGGAAGTGGAGATTACAGTAAGCCAAGATCATGCCACGGCACTCCAGCTTGGGTGACAGAATGAGACTCCATCTGGCCATCCTAAATGTATAAATTGAAAAAAATGATTAAATCTAATATGTCAGTTATATTGACTTTTGTGCAGCTTATAAAAAGCATTTGTCATGACAAGAAAAAATACTTTTGTTATCATCTCATACCATAATGAACTTGAGGATTAAGAACATTCTTCAATTGTATGAAACCCCCACCTTTTTTTCTTTTTCTTTTTTTTGTCTGAGACAGGGTCTTGCTCTGTAACCCAGACTAGAGTGCAGTGGCGTGATCACAGTTCACTGTGGCCTTGAACTCCTGGGCTCAAGCAATACTCCTACCTCAGCCTCCTGAGTAGCTGGGACTATAGGTATGTGCTACCACTCACAGTTACTTGTTTAATTTTTGCAGAGATGGGATATCATTATGTTGCCCAGGCTGCTCTCGAACTCCTAGGCTCAAGCAGTCCTCCTACCTCTGCCTCCCAAAATGCTGGGACTATAGGCATGAGCCACCATGCTCAGCCAGGAGCAGGCTTCTTTCTTGAAGAATGTGTAGGCACTCTGTGAATTTCCATATTGCTTTCTTACAGTTCAGTCCTTTACTTCCTTTTCTTTCATCTGGAAATAACTTTCTTCAATTTTACCACAATACATGTGTTTGTGGTTTCAGGGATCAGTGACATTCAGGGATGTGGCCATCGACTTCTCTCAGGAGGAGTGGGAGTGCCTGCAGCCTGCTCAGAGGACCTTGTACAGGGATGTGATGCTGGAGAACTACAGCCACCTGATCTCACTGGGTGAGGTCCTCTGCCCCAGTTAATTTAGCATCTGTTCTCTGGAATATCAGCTTTTTTTCGCTGTGAATTTCAGGGCTATCTTTTAAGAGGTAGCTGAATTCCTTCTTCTTGTTCCCAAAGGAGTGATTTGAGATTTGTTGGGTTGAAAACAGGCACCTCCCTGGAGCCCCTGCAACCTGCCTACTCCACAGTGGCCTCCTCCATTACGCTGGTCCTCTCTGTAATTGCCTCTCTCTCTTCATGACTATGGGACTGAATTTGAAATTCATTGAATGTACAAGATTTGAAATTCAGTCCCATAGTCATGAAGTTATTTGTTCTTCAAACATAATATGAAACCATGTTCTTGGACAATAACTTCCCATAGTCAGGGAGAGAGAGAGGAAATTACATGATTAATTCCCATAGGCATGAAGTTATTGTCCAAGAACATGGTTTCATATTATTGTCCAAGAACATGATTTCATATTATGTACAGTCATGAAGTTATTGTCCAAGAACCAGGTTTTGTATTGTTTGATCTCAGAATTATTGTAGATTTTGTTTATTGGTTGGTTTTTGTTTTTCTGATCCACCTGTAAGGAAAAAAGTGTCTCGAATTTTTCTATCAAAAGAACCACTATGATCACTGGGAGGCTGAGGCTGCAGTGAGGTGTACCCATCACTGCACTCCAGCCTAGGCAACAGAGTGAGACCCTAACTCGAAAACAAAAACAAACAAAAATATCTGTCATTTACATATACTGATTGGGTTGACAGAATTCATTTAACACTAAAGTGAATGAATGCATTCCATTGCCTTCAACAAACATTCATTCTGTTACTTGTTTTGTAGTTGAAAGTTTCAGGCCATGAAGTTTATGTATTTTCATTGAGTGAATATACTGAATGAGCGGTACATGTCTAAGCATGCAAAATAAATGACAATAAACATAATAATTCTTGACTTTGTGCAACTGCATATCAGGCAATGTTAGACGTATTTTACACATATTAACTTGTTTAGTCTTAGTATCAATCATATCAATATAAAATACTAGCAATATAAAATTTACTATCAATACAAAATAGGTATTATATCATCCCCATTTTAGAGTTCAGAAAACCGAAGGACAGAGTTTAAGTGACTTACCTGAGGTCATACTGCTAGTGAGCCGCAGAGACAGGATTTGAACGTGGCAGTCTGGCTTGAAGTTTCCTGCTCTCAGCCACTCAGTTGTACCTCTTTTCAAGGGATAAGATTCTGAGTTTAAATGAAACAAAGTCCTTTTCTAACATAGAGTTCTCTTACTCAACCTCTCCCTCTTCTCTGAAGTCTCTTCTCAATGTTGTTTTGACTTGTAATTTATTATAAGTTTAACCAACTTTCAAAGACCTGAATACCGAGACCAGCTCGGCCGTAGAGACCCCATCCGGTGGTGCTGAAGGCATTAAGAAGCAGACACCCAGATAGAACAGCAAAGGGGGACTATTTGGGGGGCCAACAGCCTTCTGAGCTGAGAGCCTCAAGGGCTGACAGCATTCTGGGCATAAGGGCCTCCAGCAGACTCTGACCATGTATCTCTGAACAGGTGATTATTATTAACAGCAGGTGTCCTGTGTTTTCTCATAGAACCAAGGTAAACTAGGTAGGCAGCTGGTGCCTGCTTACCACTGATCACAGAAAAACTAAAAAGTATTCTCCACGAGGGAGCCACGGGGCAGGGTCACATATCCCATGCTTAAAGAAGTGTTTTAACCAGTGTATGATATACATACACTGTCTTGCCACTTTAGAATGCCCCAAGTCGTTTTCCACTGTTGTGGGGGGGTGGGTAGGGGGAGCGGCTAGGTTTTCCTTGCCATCACTTTTCTTAGCAAACAATATATTTTATCATACACTCAGCATTTCTCAGAAATCATACACTCAGCATTTCTCAACATTTGAAAAGAAATTATATTTAAAAAATTCTGTATGTGTTATTTCTTTTAATCAGGAAGTTCCATTTCTAAACCAGATGTGATTACCTTACTAGAGCAAGAGAAAGAGCCCTGGATGGTTATAAGGAAAGAAACAAACAGATGGTATCCAGGTAAGTGAGAGGGTAAGCAGGCTGGGGGAAGCCATCATTGCCCTGGACAGCCCATGTGCTCAGAAAGGAGTCACATCCCTGAGCTGTAGTTTAAAAAACTTTAATAACCCAAGGGCTGTTGGACAAAAATGCCCAAGACCTGGGAAGGAAACAAAGATTACAGCAGGAACTATGCTATCCCCTAATCACCTAACTTCTGTTCTTTTATGCCCTTCCCCTTTTAGTGGAGTAAGTGCCCTCTTTTTTTCCCAGTGTAAACTTTTTTGTTTGTTTTAGATGGAATCTTGCTCTGTCCTTCAGTGTGTAGTGCAGTGGTGCAATCTTGGCTTACAGCAACTTCCGCCTCTCGGGTTCAAGCAATTCTCATACCTCAGCCTTCCAAGTAGCTGGGATGATGGGTGCCTGCCACCACAGCTGGCTAATTTTTGTATTTTTAGTAGAGATGGGGTTTTGCCATGTTGGCCAGGCTGGTCTCGAACCCCTGACCTCATGTGATCTGCCCGCCTCAGCCTCTCAAAGTGCAGGGATTATAGGCACGAGCCACCATGCCCAACCCATTTTGTCTTCTCCCCCGTTGATAGTTCCTTTGCTGTGCAGAAGCTTTTTAGTTTAATATAGTCTCATTTGTCTTTTTGTTTTTGCTCCCTATGCTTTTGCAGTGTTAACCAGAAAATTTTTGCCTAGATCAAAGTCCTAAAGCACTTCCTTCATGTTTTCTTTTAGTAGTTTTATAGTTTTGAGTTTTACATTTAAGTCTTTAATCCATTTTCAATTGATTTTTGTATATGGTGAGAGATAGGGGTCTAGTTTCATTCTATTGCGTATAGATATCCAATTGTTTCAGCACTATTTATTTTTGAGATGGAGTCTTGCTCTGTCACCAGGCTGGAGTGCAGTGGCAGGATCTTGGCTCACTGCAATCTCTGCCTCCTGGGTTCAGGCAATTATCCTGCCTCAGCCTCCCAAGTAGCTCGGATTACAGGCGTGTGCCACCACACCCAGCTAATTTTTGTATATTTTTTTTAGTAGAGATGCGGTTTCACTATGTTGTCCAGGATGGCCTCGATCTCTTGACCTTGTGATCTGCTGTCCTCGGCCTCCTGAAGTGCTGGGATTATAGGCATGAGCCACCGCACCTAGCCCTATTTATTTATTTTTGATTATGATTTTCCAATTTTTATTTTAGGTTCAAGGGGTACATGTGTGGGTTTTTTATAAGGGTAAATGGCATGTTGTGGTGAGTTTGGTGTGCAGATTATTTTACCACCCAGGTAATAAGCATAGTACTCAATAGGTAGTTTTTTGATCTTCACCCTCCTCCTACCCTCCACCCTCAAGTAGGCCCTGGTGTCTGTTGTTCTGTTCTTTGTGTTCATGTGTACTCAGTGTTTAGCTCCCACTTGTAAGCGAGAATATGTAGTATTTGGTTTTCTATTCCTTCATTAATTTGCTTAGGATAATGGTGTCCAGCTCCATCCATGTTGCTGCACATGATCTTGTTCTTTTTAATGGTTGCATAGTATTCCTTGGTGTATATGTACTGCATTTTCTTTGTCCAGGTAACCATTGACGGACATTTAGGTTGATTCCATGTCTTTGGTACTGTGGTTAGTGCTGTGATAAGCATAGGCATCTGTGTGCCTTTATGATAGAATGGTTTTCTTTTTTTGTTTCCTCCTTGTCTGGTTTTGGTTTCATGGTATGCCAGCTTCATAGAATGAGTTAAGGAGAATTCCCTTCTCTGAAATTTTTTGAAATAGTTTGAGGAGAATCTGTGTTAGTTCTTTGAGAGTTTGTAGTTAGAATTCAGCAGTGAAGCCATCGGTCCTGGACTTTTCTGTTTTGGGTAACATTTGATTACTGATTCAATCTCATTATTTATTATTGGTCTGTTCATCTTTTCTATTTCTTCCTGATTTAATCTTGGTAGGTGCTATGTGTCTAGGAATTTGTCCATTTCCTCTAGATTTTCCAGTTTGTTAGTATGTCATTGTTTCTTATAATCTCTGATGATCTTTTCTATTTCCGTGGTGTCAGTGCTAGTATCTCCCTTTTTGTTTCTGGTTTTGCTTCTTCCTTTCTTTCTTTTTTTTTTTTTTTTTGAGACTGAGTTTCGCTCTTGTTACCCAGGCTGGAGTGCAATGGTGCGATCTCGGCTCACCGCAACCTCCGCCTCCTGGGTTCAGGCAATTCTCCTGCCTCAGCCTCCTGAGTAGCTGGGATTACAGGCACGCGCCATCATGCCCAGCTGATTTTTTGTATTTTTAGTAGAGACGGGGTTTCACCATGTTGACCAGGATGGTCTCGATCTCTTGACCTCGTGATCCACCCGCCTCGGCCTCCCAAAGTGCTGGGATTACAGGCTTGAGCCACCGCGCCCGGCCCTGGTTTTGCTTATTTCTTCTCTTCTTGGTTAGTCCAGCTAGTTAATTTTATTTATATTTTTTAAAAAACAACTTTTCATTTCGTTAATCTTTTGTATTATTTAGTCTATATTTTATTTAGTTCTGCCATGATTTTTATTACTTCTTTCTTTGTACTAAGTTTAGGTTTGGTTTGTTCTTGTTCTTGTAGTTCCCTGAAGTATATCGTTAGATTGTTTATTTTAAATCTTTCTGCTTTTTTGATGTAGGTGTTTATTGTCATCAACTTCGCTCTTAGCAGTGCTTTTGCTGTATCCATAGGTTTTGGTATGTTGTATTCTGATTTTTATTTGTTTCAAGAAGTTTTTTTAATTGCCTTCTTAATTTCTTTCTTGACCCAATGGTTACAGAGGAGCATGTTGTTAAATTTCCATGTATTGTACAGTTTCCAAAATTCCTCTAGTTACTGATTTCTTGTTTTTTCCATGTCTGAGAAAAGACTTGATACAATTTTGGTTTTGAAAAAATTTTAAGAATTATTCTAACATATGGTCTATCCTAGAGAATGTTTTGTGTGCTAATGAGAAAATGTGTATTCTGTAGCTATTTGATGAAATGTTCAGTAAATGTCTGTTAGGCCTATTTTGTCTAATGTGAAGTTTAAATCCAATGTTTCTTTGTTAATTTTCTGTCTAGATGACGTATCTAATTCAGAGTGGGGTGTTGAAGTCCCCAACTATTATTGCACTGGCATATATCTCTCTCCCTTTTGATCTAATCATATTCACCTTATATATCTGGGTGTTCTAGTATTAGAATTATAGTATGTTTAGAATTGTTATATCTTCTTGCTGAATTGATCCCTTTATCATTATACCATGACCTTCTTTGTCTCTTTTTGCCAATAAAGGTTTTATTGGTTTGAATTGATGGTTTCAGTTGATGAAAGTATTTTGTATGCATGTGTGCTATAGGAAAATAAAATATGTTTGCTTTCTTCACTTCTTTCAGATTTGGAGTCAAAATATGGACCTGAGAAAGTATCTTCAGAAAGTGATATCTCTGAAGTAAATTTACCCAAACAAGTTATAAAGCAAATAAATAAAACTGTTGGCCTCAAGGCCTTTTATTTTAGAAATGACTCAGAATATAGAAGGTTTGAGGGATTACAGGGATATCAAGAAGGATATATCAATCAGAAGTTAATCAGCTATGAAAAACTGCCTACTTATACTCCTCATGCTTCTCTTATTCACAATACACATAAACCATATGAATGTAAGGAATGTGGGAAATACTTTAGTCGTGGTTCAAATCTTATTCAGCATCAGAGTATTCATACTGGAGAGAAACCCTATAAATGTAAAGAATGTGGGAAAGCCTTTCGACTTCACATACAATTTTCTCGACATCAGAAATTTCATACTGGCGAGAAACCTTTTGAATGTAAGGAATGTGGAAAGGCCTTTAGTCTTCTCACCCTGCTTAATCGCCATAAGAATATTCACACAGGTGAGAAACTGTTTGAATGTAAGGAATGTGGGAAGTCCTTTAATCGTAGCTCAAACCTTGTTCAACATCAGAGTATTCATGCTGGTGTAAAACCGTATGAATGTAAGGAGTGTGGGAAAGGCTTTAATCGCGGTGCACACCTTATTCAGCATCGGAAGATTCATTCCAATGAGAAACCCTGTGTATGTAAGGAATGCGGGTTGGCCTTTCGATATCATTACCAACTTATTGAACATTGCCAAATTCATACAGGTGAGAAACCCTTTGAATGTAAGGAATGTGGAAAGGCCTTTACTCTTCTGACAAAGCTTGTTCGACATCAGAAGATTCACACTGGTGAGAAGCCCTTTAAATGCAGGGAATGTGGGAAGGCCTTTAGTCTTCTCAACCAGCTAAATCGCCATAAGAACATTCACACAGGTGAAAAACCATTTGAGTGTAAGGAATGTGGGAAGGCCTTTAATCGTAGCTCAAACCTTATTCAACATCAGAGTATTCATGCTGGTGTGAAACCATATGAATGTAAGGAGTGTGGGAAAGGCTTTAATCGTGGTGCACATCTTATTCAGCATCAGAAAATTCATTCCAATGAGAAATCTTTTGTATGTAGGGAATGTGAGATGGCCTTCAGATATCATTGCCAACTTATTGAACATTCTCGAATTCATACTGGTGACAAACCGTTTGAATGTAAAGACTGTGGGAAGGCCTTCAATCGTGGCTCAAGCCTTGTTCAACATCAGAGTATTCATACAGGTGAGAAGCCTTATGAATGTAAGGAGTGTGGGAAGGCTTTTAGACTTCACCTACAACTATTTCAACATCAGAAAACTCATACAGGTGAGAAACCCTTTGAATGTAAGGAATGTGGGAAATTCTTTCGTCGTGGTTCAAATCTTAATCAGCATCGAAGTATTCATACCGGAAAGAAACCCTTTGAATGTCAGAAATGTGGGAAAGCCTTTCGACTTCATATGCACCTTATTCGACATCAGAAATTGCATACTGGTGAGAAACCCTTTGAATGTAAGGACTGTGGAAAAGCTTTTAGACTTCATATGCAACTTATTCGACATCAGAAATTTCATACTGGTGAGAAACCCTTTGAATGTAAGGAATGTGGAAAGGTTTTTAGTCTTCCCACCCAGCTTAATCACCATAAGAACATTCATACAGGTGAGAAGCCATCTTGAATGTAAGGAATGTGGGAATCCTTTAATTGTGTCTCAAACCTTGTTTAATGTCAGAGTATGTATGCTGGTGTAAAACCAGGTGAATGTAAGGAATGTGGGAAGGGCTTCAATCATGGTTCAAACCTTATTCAGCATCAGAAAATTCATTCTAGTGAGAAACTCTTTGTATGAAAGGTGTGGAGGAAGATCTTTAGATATCATTACCAACTTATTGAACATTACCAAATTCATACTGGTGGAAACCCCTTTGAATGTAAAGAATGTGGAAAAACCTTTAGTTTTCTGACATAGCTTGCTCAACATTAGGTCATTCATACTGATGAGAAGCCATTTGAATCTGAGGAATATGGGAAGGCCTTTAGTAGTGGCTCAAACTTTGTTCAACATCAGAGTATCCATACTAGTGAGAAACTCTGAATGTAAGGAGTGTGGGAAAACTTCTAGATTTAGTATTGTCTTCACTGCACATCAAAGAATTCATAACAGTATGAAACCCTTTGAATGTAAGGAATGTGGGAAGACCTTTAGTTGTAGCTCAAAGCTTGTTCAACTTGCTAAAATTCATACTGGTGAGAAACCGTATAATGTAACGAATGTGAGAAAGCATATGCTGTGGATGATCAGCTTACTCAACATTAGAAAATTCATAATAGAAATTTTATGAATATCAGGAGTGTGGACAAGCCTTCACTGTGTGTAAAAAATTTACTCAACACCAGACAACTCATATGGATGAGAAATCCTGTGAACATAAAAGAATGTGTCGCGAACTTTCATCATGGCCTAGGATTTGCTTAACATCAGAGTATTCATACTACTGAGAAATCCTTTGAGTGTAAGGAATGTGGGGTGTTTTATAGCAACTCTAAATACAGTAGAGTTCAGAGAAGATAATTCTTATGAGAAAGTCTTTGAATGAGGAATATAGGGTAGTTGTGACATCCACAGTATACTCCCTATGTAACGCTTTACCAGATACAGGCATACCTTGCTTAATTGTGCACACAGTTATTGTGTTTTATGCAATTTGAAGGTTTGTGGCAACCCCACAGTGAGTAAGATGATCAGAGTCATTTTCCAAACATCATGTGTCCATTTTGTGTCTTTATGTCACGTTTTAGTAATTCTCAGAATATTTCAAAGTTTTTCATTGTTATATGTCCATCATGGTGACCAATGACCAGTGATTTTTGATGTTACTATTGTAATTGCTTTGGGATACCACAAATATTGCCCATAAAAGATGGTGAACCTAGTTGATACTTGTCATGAGTTTTGAAAAAATAGTCAAATATACAATCATATACCCCCACCTAGATACAAAATTGTTAACAATTTGCCACATTTATTTTTTGTATGTTTGTTGTACCATAGAGAATAAGTTTTAGACTTCATGACACTTTACCCCTTATTTAATCAGCATGGGTATCACCCAAACATAAAGACAATATCATATAGCTATAGTACCATAATTACTCTTAAGGAAAGTATTCATAATTCTGTAATATCATTCCATTTTCAGATTTCTTCATTGGCCCCCAAACCATCTTTTATGGCTATTTATATTTAAAGGAGAATCCATTGCAGATTCTGAATTGCATTTGGTTATCTCTCTTCAGTATATTGTAGCCTGGAAACCCTATAAATGTAAGATCTCATATTTTGGTAGGTATTAGAATCACCTGTGGAACTTAGTAAAACTACAGAGGCTTAAGCCCTAGCTTATAAGCCTGGGCCTCTATGTTTTATTTTATTTCTCCAGGTGATTGTGATACCAACCAGAGATAGAGAGCCACTGGTCTAGAACATTTCTCCACATTCTTAAAAAATGACATTAAAATTTGACTAGCCTAGGAAAGTTGTCTTCTATGTGTTTAGATTTCTTTCTTTATAGTGTAATTTAGCCTTGTTCTCTTTGTTGTATATCCTGTACAAAGGAATTTGAGTCCAGAGGCTCTGTTAGGTCTAGATTAAATATTTTGGGGAAGAATACTTTGTACGTTATTTGTATGTCACGTTTTATTGTCAGAAAACCTTTAAGTACAGGTCCTTGCATTAGTGAAACTAAGTTTGGTCATTTGGGTAAGCTGGTAGCTACCATGTTAAGTAATTGATGGAGAGACTTTGTCACCCCTGAAAAATTATAGTCATGTATATTTTATCCCTGGATGAATACAAAATGAAAATAGAAACAGACTATTCAGAAATGAATGCCATGAAGGTATCAACATAATTCAACTTGTGTGATATGGCTGACACTACTCAGTACAAAATTAGCACCGTCTAGTTTATGCAGGGAGCCAAGGTTGTTTTGCCTGGAACCTTGTTTTTGTTCAGCATTTATCACCAGCACCTATACCATGTCTGGTACATGAGCTGTTGATAAACTTTGAAAAAAATTAAGTGCTTAAATCAAGCTATAAAATGTGATACCATTGTGGGACCATGAATTATATTAATTTTTTAAAAGATCAATAATAAACCTTTATGATTTTATTCCAGTATATTTAAAAATCTATAAAGTGATAATTTATATTGATAGCTTTCTTCTTTTTGTGAATATACCCTTATCAGGTTATTATTGTTTTGACAGATAATTCTATTTCTTAACATTTAATTGCATCTATAATCATAAGTAAAGTTATAATTTTCTAAATATAAAACTTTCATATAAAACTTGGCTTTCTAGTCTCATGTTCCTATTTTTTATTTCCAGTTTCATCTTTTTCGTATTGATTCTCTTTGACTTTTTTTTTTTTTGACTTAACAGATTCCCTGGGTATTAACCCAGCACAACTCCTTTATGGGTCATTGCACATCCTGGTAATGTCATTAAGGTTTGTCATGAAAGATCCCTGGAGGCCTTGCAATGGAACTCTATTATCATGTAATCTTGGCATTTCTAACTTGGAAGTCAGAGTGCCTTTACAAACATAATAAAACACTTCAAAGTATTTGCTAAAGTTACAAACCAAGTATGTACAAATTTTAAAAATCACCTTATACTTTTAAAAGCAGAAAAGGCATCCATAGAATATTTCCTTGCTTACAAGCTCAGTGAATGTACTGAATTCACTTACAAAAAGAATTTTCTCACATTTAGTTGCCTTTCAAAAAAATTCTTATTTCTTTTATTTGTAATTCTTTGACATTGTTGCTGCTTCAAGGTTTTGGTAATTGGACAGTATGGTCTTTATTATGCTATTAACATTTTTACTTGTCCCAAAAAAAGGGAATACAATCAAAGAAACAGAAGGTTGCCGTAACTTGAACCACATTATGATGTCAAGATGACCCAGAGCCAAGGTTACTAAGCTGTTTAAATTTTTAGTAACAGAGGTGTATCAGAAAGTGATAGGTCAATTAAATAATTTTTTGGATAAATTTAATGATATAATCTCCTTAAATTATGCTTAGTCAGCAGTATTTAATCTGTTGTCTATTATACATCTAACTGGTCTGTTACCTTTCTTATATATTTATGTATTACTTATAAATATCTTATTAGAGTAACTGATTTTTAAAACAATATATTTCATCTCCTAGGAGAATAGGATTGAGTACGTGTTTTTATTCTTTCTCATTATGACATTTGGGTATTTTATCATTTTGAAATGCTATTGAATATTCCATTTATTTAGTCTGTGGTCTGACCTTCACTCCCTAGCACTGATTTTTATTTGGACCTTCTTTTACCTGATTCATATAAGTTAGGAGTAGCCATTAGTATGGATACATTTTTCCCATTTCTAGTATACTGCCCTTTCCAAAAGTGTCTGGCTTACTCAAAGTTTTCTGTATTTGTTCCATCCTGCTTTTACAGATGAATACAAATAGCTAACTATACCTTCTAAACAAACATAAAGCTGGTGGAAAAAAGGCATATAAACAGCTCTTTCTAACCTACTATCAACAGTAAATTAAGCATTTTTTTTTTTTTAGACGGAGTTTCGCTCTTGTTACCCAGGCTGGAGTGCAATGGCGCGATCTCGGCTCACCGCAACCTCCGCCTCCTGGGTTCAGGCAATTCTCCTGCCTCAGCCTCCTAAGTAGCTGGGATTACAGGCACGCGCCACCACGCCCAGCTAGTTTTTTGTATTTTTAGTAGAGACGGGGTTTCACCATGTTGACCAGGATGGTCTCGATCTCTCGACCTCGTGATCCACCCGCCTCAGCCTCCCAAAGTGCTGGGATTACAGGCTTGAGCCACCGCGCCCGGCAAATTAAGCATTTTTAACTGCAGCCTCCTTTTGTAAAATTTATAGCCATTTATCTTTTGAGTATGACATGATACTAGATGTATGATAATTATATATTTCATATGTCAGTATGAACATGATTTTTAACAGACTTGTTCCAATGAACTTTTGTACAGATGGTCACCAACTTAACAATGTAGACTAACAATTTCTCACTTTATGATAGTGCAAAAGTGACATGTTACTATAGTTTGAATATTTGTCCCCTCCAAATCTCATGTTGAAGTTTGATCCCAGTAATGGGAGGTGTTTGGGTCACAGGGGAAGATCCCTCATGAATAAATTAATAAATAAATAAGGCTAGGAATTTTGCCTCTTCAACTGAGAGTTGGTGGGGATAATCTGAACCACCATTCTGTTTTTCTGTTGTGAAACCTCTGCCTTACAAGTATATATATATATATGTGTGTGTGTGTGTGTGTGTGTGTGTGTGTGTGTGTGTATTTTCACAGCAGTAAAGGAAAATATAATGTCTTATCAAATAAAGAGTATCAATAAAGAAAATCATAAAAGGAACCAAATGTAAATTCTGAGTTGAAGAATATAATAATCAAAATAAAAAAATATCATTAGGAGGTCTAAATAAGTTTCAGCTGGCAGAAGAATTAGAAAATTATGCAACCTCAATTCCATCTTCCCACTAGAAAATAGAATAAGAAAGTAAAATGAAGGCATAGAATGAGAAAATAGACCAAAGAAAAATGAACAGAGGCTGGGTACAGTCGCTCATGCCTGTAATCCTGGCACTTTGGGAGGCTGAGGTGGGCAGGTCACCTGAGGTCAGGAGTTTGCGAATAGCCTGGCCAACATGGCGAAACCCCATCTCTATTAAAAGTACAAAAATTAGCCAGGCATGGTGGCAGGTGCCTTTAATCTCAGCTACTCAGGAGGTTGTGACAGGAAAAATGCTTGAACCTGGGAGGTAGAGGTTGCAGTGAGCCGAGATCATGTCACAGCACTTCAGCCTGGACAAGAGCGAGACTCTGTCTCAAGGAAAAAAAAAAGAAAAGGAAAATGAACGGAGCCTCAGAGAAATTTAGGACACCTTTAAGTGCACCAACATACATGTAAGGAGAATACCAGAAGATGAGGAGAAAGAGAAGAACAAAAATATTCAAAGAAATAATGGCTAAAAACATCCACAATTTGTTGAATAAACATTATATATGCAAGCATCTCAACAAATGTAAATAGAATGAATGCAAACATGTCCACAAAGAGACCCATCATAGTAAAAATGCTTAAAGTGAAAGAAAATGTTGATAGCTAGAAGAGAAAAACTGTGTGTCACAAGGGTACCCTGATAATTAACAGCAGACTTCTCATCAGAAACAATGGAGGGTATAAAGGCAGTGGGATGATATACTGAAAGTACTCAAAGGACAAAAGCTCTGTCAACCATGAATTTTATTCCTGGTAATGATATCTTTCGAAAATAAAGGTAAAATAAAGCCCTTCCTAGATCTACCATATAAGAAATTGCAAAGAAAGTTACTCAAGCTGAAGCAAGTAAATCCACATGAAAATTCAAAATTGCATTTTAAGAAAGAAAAAAATTAATATTTTTAATTAAAGGTAATTATAGCCAGGTGCAGTGGCTCATGCCTGTGAACAAAGGAGTTTGGCAGGCCAAAGCAGGAACATTGCCTAAGGTCAGGAGTTTGAGACCAGCCTGGCCAACATGGCAATACCCTGTCTCTACTGAAAATACAAAAATTAGCTGGGCATGGTCATGTGCATCTGTAGTCCCAGCTACTCAGAAGGCAGAGGCAGCAGAATTGCTTGAACCTGGAAGGCAGAGGTTCAGTGAGTTGATATAGTTCCACTGTAATCTAGCCTGGGTGACAAAGTGAGACTCTATCCCCAAAACAAACAAACAAAAAAGGTAATTATAAAAGGCAGCATAAATGCACATTTCTTTTACTCTCTTTTCGTCATAGATTTTAAAAGCAATTATATAATACAATACATTTATAATTGTGTTGTGTTATCAGATGCAGCAAAAGCAGTGTTCAGGTAATCTTATAGCTGTTAGTGTTTACATTAAAAAAGATAGAAGATTTCAAGTCAACAACTTAGCTTCATGCTAAGTTGTTATAAACTAGAAAAGTAGAAACTAAATTTGAAGCGAGTAGAAGGAAAGAAAAATATTCGAGAATAAAAATAATGGAGAAAATTAGTAAAACTAAGCGTTAATTCTTTGAAAAGTTCAACAAAATTGTCAAACCATTAGCTAGTTGATTAAGAGAGAAAACTGAAATAACTAGGATCAGAAATAAAACAGGGAACATTCCTATGAATTGTATATAGTAATGGAAAGTATTATTATTATTATTATTTTTTTTTTGAGACGGAGTTTCGCTCTTGTTACCCAGGCTGGAGTGCAATGGCGCGATCTCGGCTCATCGCAACCTCCGCCTCCTGGGTTCAGGCAATTCTCCTGCCTCAGCCTCCTGAGTAGCTGGGATTACAGGCATGTGCCACCATGCCCAGCTAATTTTTTTGTATTTTTAGTAGAGACGGGGTTTCACCATGTTGACCAGGATTGTCTCGATCTCTTGACCTTGTGATCCACCCACCTCAGCCTCCCAAAGTGCTGGGATTACAGGCTTGAGCCACCGTGCCTGGCCGGAAAGTATTATTTAAGTACTTTTAACAGTTGTATGTCAATAAATTGGATAACCTAGACAAAATGGAGAAATTCCTAGAAACACACATGACTAAGACAATCATGAAGAAATAGAAAATCTGAATATACCTATGACCAGTGAGGAGACTGAATAGTAATCCAATACCTCCTAATTAAGAAAAGCCAAGTACTAGATGGCTTCATTGGTAAAGTCTAGCAAATGATTTTAGATCTTTGTTCTTTTCTAGCACTACAGGCATTTAAAGCTAGAAATTTCTCACTAAAAACATGTTTAGGTGTTTCAAAAACTCTGTTTTTGTTTTTATTAAAAATACATTGTAGGCAAGGTGTGGTGGCTCATGCCTGTAATCCTAGCATTTGGGGAGGCTAAGATAGGGGCATTGCTTGAGTACAGAAGTTTGAGACCAGCCTGGTCAGCATAGCCAGATCCCATATTTATTTTTAAGAAGTAAAATTAGCCGGGTGCGGTGGCTCACGCCTGTAATCCCAGCACTCTGGGAGGCCGAGGCGGGCGGATCACCTGAGGTCTGGAGTTCAAGACCAGCCTGACCAACATGGTGAAACCCAGTCTTAAAAAAAAAAAAGAAGTAAAATTTAAAAATACATTATAATTTCTCTTATAATGTATTCTTTAATACATGGAGTATTTAGCAATGTATTGAATAATTTCAAAATATTTTTGAATTTCCCAAATTTCCTCAGTTTTTTATTTCTAATTTAATTTCATTGTGGTCAGAGAATTTACTTAGCATAACTTACTTTTTAAAACTTACAATTTGCCATATGGTCTAGTATATTATTTAGTTTAGAAAATGTTGCATGTTGAGTATATATTTTATTATCAGTTGAAGGTTCAATAAATACCAGTTAAGTCAGACTAGTTGGTTTGAATCTTCTATATCCTTGCAGATTTTCTGTCTAGTGGTTAAAATTTTTTTAAATAGAGTGTTGAAATCTTCAACTTCTATTGTTGAAATGTCATTTTCTGGGGCCGGGCGCGGTGGCTCAAGCCTGTAATTCCAGCACTTTGGGAGGCTGAGGCGGGTGGATCACGAGGTCGAGAGATCGAGACCATCCTGGTCAACATGATGAAACCCCGTCTCTACTAAAAATACAAAAAACTAGCTGGGCATGGTGGCGCGTGCCTGTAATCCCAGCTACTCAGGAGGCTGAGGCAGGAGAATTGCTTGAGCCCAGGAGGCGGAGGTTGCAGTGAGCCGAGATCGCGCCATTGCACTCCAGCCTGGGTAACGAGAGCGAAACTCCGTCTCAAAAAAAAAAAAAAAAAAAAAAGAAATGTCATTTTCTCCCTTGAGTTTTGTCAGTTTTTGTTTCATGTATGTAGTCTCCTGTTTTTAGGAACATATACGTTCATTGTCGTTTTATTTTTCTGATTAACTCACCCTTTTGTCATGAAAACATGTTCCTCTTTTCCTCTAGTAACATTTTAAAAGTCTATTTTGTCTGACGGAAATATTAACCTTTCCTGTTCTCTTCTGATCACCATTTGTATGGTATCTATTTGAATCTTTTTCCATCCTTTTGTTTCCCATGTTTTCAGCTTTAAAAAAACCTAACATACGTCTTAGCTTTAAAAATCTAATTGAGATTGTTACTAATATAATATCGACAGTCACCAGACTTGGTGGCTCACACCTGTAATCCCAGCACTCTGGGAGGCCAAGGTGGGAGGATTGCCTGAGGCCAGGAGTTCAAGACCAGCCTGGGCAATATAGTGAGACTCTGTCTCCACAAAAAATTACAAATAAAATTTTAATCAAGATAAATTAAATAATATCAATAGTATATAGAAAGTTTGCTACAGTATAGATCCCTTCCTCCCCTTTTGTGCTGTCAATAGTAATACAAATGTAACACAAATGACAACTTTATACATTATGAACAAAACAATATAATTGTATGGTTTTACGCAGTTACCTTTAATCAGTTAAATTAAAAGGGTAAAAGTATATATTATTTTTTATCTACCTATGTAATGACTTTAATCACTGCTCATTGTTTCTTTGTGTGGATTCAAGTTACCATCTGGTGTTACCTTTCATCCTAAAGAACTTTAATATTTCTTATTAGTACGTCTGCTAGCAACAGATGCTTTCAGCCTTTATCTGCAGTTCTCTTTTTTTTTTTTTTTTTTTTTTGAGACGGAGTTTCGCTCTTGTTACCCAGGCTGGAGTGCAATGGCGCGATCTCGGCTCACCGCAACCTCCGCCTCCTGGGCTCAGGCAATTCTCCTGCCTCAGCCTCCTAAGTAGCTGGGATTACAGGCATGCACCACCACGCCCAGCTAGTTTTTTTTTTTGTATTTTTAGTAGAGACGGAGTTTCACCATGTTGACCAGGATGGTCTCGATCTTTCGACCTCGTGATCCACCTGCCTCGGCCTCCCAAAGTGCTGGGATTACAGGCTTGAGCCACCGCGCCCGGCCTTGCAGTTCTCTTGAAGTGTGTTCACATTCTTGTATAGCAACTTTGCAAAGAGTTTGGTCATTATTTTTCAAGAATTATTCCTTATGATCCATAAATAAAATGTTCAAATATTATATAATTTCTTTTCTTTTTTACTAGGCATTCTACTCCTTTATATAATTTCAATTATCCTAGTATTCATACATTTTCAAATTTTTACTACTTTGGACAGTATATTATATAGTGAGCTGTTATTAATTTCTAATTTAATTCCATTTTTCTCAAAGAACATATTTTGTATGACTTGGGTATTGAGCCAGAATATGGTCTATGCTGCTAAGTGTCCCCTGTGCACATAAGATGAATTTTATTGTCTTTGCAAAGAGTGTTTCACAAGTGTAAATGAGATCAAGCAGGTTGATATGTTGCAGCATGTATTTGGGTCTGACTTAAAAAAAAAAAAATCCAACCTGACAATCTTTTTAAGTTAAGGTGTTTAAACCAGTTACATTTAATGTGATCATTGATACAGTTAAGATTATTATCTTGCTGTTTTCTGTCACAGTTGGGAATGAAAAGACATTTTGCTCTTTATTATTCCATGTTTCCTCCTTATGTAGCATAGCAAAGTACGAAAACGATTTTGAAAGTTCAATATTGCTAGATTACCACAATGAAATCGGGCTCTTCCTACAACAAACAAGACAATTTTTTTTTTTTTTTTTTTTTTTTTTTGAGACGGGGTTTCGCTATTTACCCAGGCTGGAGTGCAATGGCGCGATCTCGGCTCACCGCAACCTCTGCCTCCTGGGTTCAAGCAATTCTCCTGCCTCAGCCTCCCTAGTAGCTGGGACTACAGGCACGCGCCACCATGCCCAGCTAATTTTTGTATTTTTAGTAGAGACGGGGTTTCACCATGTTGACCAGGATGGTCTCGATCTCTTGACCTCGTGATCCACCCGCCTCGGCCTCCCAAAGTGCTGGGATTACAGGCTTGAGCCACCGCGCCCGGCCAAACAAGACAATTTTAAGAAAATGTGTTAATTATTCATCCTTCAAGATAAGGCAAGTAATTTTCTGTGTACTTTTATCCCTTTCCATGCCGTCCTGAATCACATTTTTTTCTGTCTAGATAGCAAGAACATTGTCTTCAAGAATCCATTTGATTCTGAAATCTCTCAATTAAACCACACTTCCTCTTCTAGAATAAAATCATTTCCTTAGTTCAAGCTTTTCAAATTTATCCTAAGTCCCCTTCAAATAGTACAAGGTGGAAGCCTATGTTGGCATCTGAGTCAAAGCAGCTACATCTTGACAAAATTTAACTTTGAATTCCTCTTTAAAAGTTCTGCTCATTTGCATTCTACTCCAGGGAGAGAAAAGGTAATTTACACTGACGCACCAAGAAGAGCAACTCTCCTCACAGATGGGGATCCTCGCCCGTAGCAGCAACCTGTGCACCCCACGGTCTGGAACTCCCACAAATACATTAGGCTTGGCTCTTTTAGGAGCCCTAGACGTATGGTGCGATCCACCTAAATAGACCAGCGTTCAAGGCTTCTGAGGCTCTTTCTGCTCAGGACTGTATTTCCCAGGGGCCACCGCACCGGAATTAACGGTTCCACTTCCGGTCACCAGGGGTAGACGGCGCAGTGGGGTAAGGTCTTCCTGTCCTAGGAAGAAATCGGTGGCTGCGGGAGGTCTCCGCGGACTGGGACTCGATCCTGACAGACCCGGCAGTATGGGTGGGTGAGAGGGAGGGCCTCAGAGGGGGAACCTGGGGCGTAGACCCGATCTGCCGGATCCCCAGGCGCGCGTGTGCGCGGGAAGCAGAGGAGGGAAGTTTGTGCGATCATGAGTGACGGAGGGGACTGTGTGTGTGCAGGAGGCCCTGTGCACAGGACCGGAAGGTCGTGTGGACGCAGCGCGTTTTGCTGGGGCTGTGTGAGTGTCACTGTGCTGGTGGTTCTAGGCTGCTGCTGCTTCCTCCGTTTTTCCCCTTCACAGCTGCGGAGGCTGCAGCAGAGGAATGGCCCCAGCAGGGAGGTCAGATATTGAGCCGAGAATGAAGCTTTCCACAAGAAGGCGCAGATCGGTGTTCGGGGTGGGAATCTGAGAGCTGAAAGTGCCTCGAGGGTCCCCCAGAAGGGCAGCTACATGTTGAGTACCCAGCGTCCCTCAGAGCTCTGTCCCCAGGAACCAGCTTTGAACTCGGACCGATTCCTCCTCCTTTTATTTCCTTCTCATTTCGTAAGAAGTGAGGGAAGTTGTGGCCCTGGAGGGTGCTTTCAAACTTAATCTGCTCTCCAAGAAAAGCCTGGAGCCTCACGCTTGCCATATCCTTTCCCAGTCGTGCAATTATCCAAAAGAAGTACCGGAAGGAGGATGATAGCGTTATTGTTTCACACTTAAAAGTTAACAGTGAGTTTGGGCTTTGTATTTAAGATATGTGTTTTTTATTTTAGAATATAGAAGTTCCAGTGAATTTCAGGAGAATATGCACATTGATTCTTGCTCCCTCCCATCTTGTCACCTCCCAGCGAGTCCCCCCCAACTTTCCACTTAATATTTACCGAACCATTTGGCAAATCGTTCACACTTTCTCGTGCGCTCTCTTCTTCTAAGCTGGTATAAAAATAGACCCCCAGATGTTTACATTAAAGCTTTATTTTAGACTCTGCTTTGGTAAGATTAGTCTATGGAATCACACACCAGGTATCTGTCTTTACAGGCCTCCTTTTCAAAGCAGGGAAGAATGGAGATGGTTGGGTGATTTCCATTCCTCTGTGAGGCTTTCAGGAGTTAGAAAGTTATTGCCATGTTGGCCAGGGTGGTCTCGAACTCCGGAACTCAGGTGATCTGCCCTTGGAAAGTGCTGGGATTACAGGTGTGAGCCACTGCCCCAGGCCTATATAAACATTCTTTAGATTCCACTGATGAGTAAGATCATGTGTCTTTCTGTGCCTGGCTTACTTCACTTAATATGATGTTCTCCATGTTCATCTGTGTTGTTGCGAATGAGAGAATTTCCCTTTTTATGGCTAAATACTGTTCCATTGTGTATATATGCCTGCATATATACCACATTTTCTTTATCCAGTCATTCATTGATAGACACTTAGATTGATTCCATATCTTGGCTATTGTGAATAGTGCTGCAATAAACATGGGTGTGCAGATGTCACTTTGACATGGATTTCATTTCCTTTGGATATATATTCAGTAGTGAGATCACTGAATCATATGGTAGTTATATTTTTAATTTTTTGAAGAACCTCCATACTGTTTTCCATAATGTCTGTGTCACTTTACATTCTCACTTACAGTGTACAAGCATTCCCTTTTCTCTACATTCTCACAAACGCTTTTTTTTTTTTTTTTTTTTTTTTTTGAGACGGAGTTTCGCTCTTGTTACCCAGGCTGGAGTGCAATGGCGGGATCTCAGCTCACCGCAACCTCCATCTCCTGGGCTCAAGCAATTCTCCTGCCTCAGCCTCCTGAGTAGCTGGGACTACAGGCGTGCGCCATCACGCCCAGCTAATTTTTGTATTTTTAGTAGAGACGGGGTTTCACCATGTTGACCAGGATGGTCTTGATCTCTTGACCTTGTGATCCACCCGCCTCGGCCTCCCAAAGTGCTGGGATTACAGGCGTGAGCCACCGCGCCCGGTTACAAATGCTTCTTAACTTTTGTCTTTCCAATAGCCACCCCTACACATATGAGGTGATATCTTATTGTAGGTTTAGTTTCATTTCCCTGATGATTAGTGAAGTTGAGCATTTTTTCATATACTGTTTGCCATTTATATGTCTTCTGTTTGCCATTTATATGTCTTCTTTTGTGATGTGTTTATCAGGTCCTTTGCCCATTTTTAAATTGGGTTGTTTCCTTGCTGTTCAGTTGTTTTGAGTTCCTCACATATTTTGGATATTAACCCCATATCAGATACATGGTTGTAAGTATTTTCTCTCATTCTGTAGATTATCTCTTCACTTTGCTGTGCAGAAGCTTTTTTAGCTTGATGTAATTTCATTTGTCTATGTTTGCTTTTGTTGCCTGTGTTTTTGATATCTTTTCCAAAAAGAAAAATCATTACCCAGATCAATGCCATAGAGCTTTTCCCATGCATTTTTGTCTATTTGTTTCATAGTTTGGGTTCTTACATTTGAGTCTTTAATCCATTTAGAGTTGATTTTTGTATAATGGTTTGAGATAAGGGTCTAATTTCATTCTTCTGTGTGTGACTAGTTTTCACAACGGTATGTATCAAAGAGACTGTCTTTTCCTTATTGTATGTTCTTGGCACCTGTCTCAAAAATCAGTTGGTTATAAATGTATGGATTTATTCTGGGGCTCTCTATTCTGTTCCGTTGGTCTGTGTGTCAGTACCATGCTGTTTTGGTTACTATAGCTTTGTAGTGTATATTGAAGTTAGGTAGTTTATTTGGTGTCTCCAACTTTGTTCTTTTTGCTCCAGATTGTTTTGGCTGTTTGGGGTTCTTTGTTGTTCTATACAAATTTCAGCATTTTTTTTTTTTTTTCTATTTCTGTAAAGAATGTAGGACTGAAATTCTTAACCTGAGTTCCTGTAACTCCACTTATTATCTTGGGGACCACAGGCTCTTGAAATAAAATATTGAAGCATTATAGAAATTAATAAATGTGGGTTTTAGAGGAAGAAATAATATGTCATTTCATAAGACTATTGAAAGAGTATGTGACCCATGAGGTTTGGATCCATTGGTCTAGAAAGAACATTGGTTCTCAGCTGGGGTGATGTTTAGAAACTTTGGTTGTCATACTGTGGGGGAGGGTGCTACTTAGATCCAGTAGACAGAGGTCAGGATGTTGCTGAACATTGTACCATGCACAGGATAGCTGTCCTTACAGCCCCAACAAAGAATTATTCAGCACAATATGTCAGTAGTGCCTAGGGTGAGAGAAACCTTAGTCTAGAATCGAAAGATTGTGATACCTGGAATGACACTGTAAATAATCTTATATAAAGTGTTTATGGAAATCACTAAGCAAATCATACTAGACTCAAGTGATAGAGTGTTATGTATCTAGATACATATATGTGTATGTATCTATACATGTGAATATAATTATATATTCCAAGTTAATGCCTGTGCATAGTCACACTTATGAAGTACTTTTAAGCAAAAAGAAGAAAATTAGGGCTACGATACAGAGATTAATACTGTTAGCATGCATACACTTGTCTAAATTTTTTTTGTATTGATGTCTATTAGTCTTTTTAAAAATATTTTTATATGCATGTATTTTACTTTTTTCTTTTATATATGCATATATTTTACAAATGTAATTATATTGTCTATCCTATTTTGTAAACTGATTTTTCTGTTAGTCATATGTCTTGTGAACATTTAATGATTACTTCATATTCTATTACATGGATGCTCTGAACTGTACTTAACCAGCTGGCTTTTGCTGAACTCAGAATGCTGACCACTGGTCATGAAATTCCTGCTATATCCTTTCCAGCTATCATGCCTTGCCCCACTGCACCCAATCCTGACTTCACAAAAAGGTTCTGGTTTGGATGATGTGATCCCTTCTCAGCTCTGAAAGGTGGGACTAGGGCAGGAGGATTGCTTACAGCAGGATCAGAGGCCCAGTCCTAGGCCAAGGTAGGTATCCTAAGAGTGGAGGACGGGTTGGAAGCCTTCCTGCTGGAGTGTCTTTTGAGCAACTTCAAGACAGAAATGCCTGTGCTGTGCATTCATACTTGTGCCACAGGTACCCTGGAATTTAGGCGAGAGCTTGGTTTCATCCACACTCCACCTGTTCACTGCCAGTTTATTTGTGACAGGGTGTGTTCAGGGAAAAGGGGAGTGATGGGAGAGGGTTGGAAGTGTGTGTGTTAGCAGGGGTAGTTGAGAAATAGGAATGAAGGATAAAATAGTTATTTGCTTCAGTGCTATGGGAGCATTGAGACAGAGCCTGACTTACAGCCTTTGTTGTTGTTTTCCAGGGGAGAAGCCCAAGGAAGATTAAACAATTTTGTAATTCTGAAAACATGGTCCATGTAAGTTGGTATTTCTCTCTTCTTGAAGTATGGCGATTTTCAGGTTAGGTGACTGTTATTATCTAACCTGAAATTTCTTACCTAAGGATCCACTATTTTACACCCCAGTTTGTCCCATTACAGTGAAGGTTGAGACCAAAAATAAAGGTCAGTGCTCTTCCTATTTGTTCCTCTGTTTTCCTCCTGGCTTTGATGTTTTCTTGGAACAGGTTATTCAGTCTGTGCTCTGAGTTCAGTCCTTGGTCAGGAAGAATGTTGGAACTTTGGATAAGTCGGTCCCCACAGGAAAACATGGTCTTGTGGGTTTGATAAGTTACAGATGATTGTTGCGTTTAACCACACTTGGGAACACCTTGAAACTTCTCCACCGACTGGAGCTTTCCAGGTAGCTAAGGTAGAATTCCACAGTGAGTGGCCTCAGTCTGCAAGTGTGACAAGGTGATCTGCTTTATGAGCCTTTTAGGAAAGTGATCAGTGAGGACAGTGGGCAGTAACAGGGAGATGATTATTCAGGGCACAAGTCATTGGTGATTACAAATTCTCTGAATTGGGAGAAACCTTAGAGACTGACCATCTTAAATATACAAATAGAAAAAAATGATTAAATCTAATATGTCAGTTATTATTGAATTTTATGCAGCTTATAAAAATCATTTGTCAAGACAAGAAAAATAGTTTTATCATCTGATACTGTAATGAGCTTGAGGATTAAAGGCATTCCTCAATTTTATGCAACCTACCTTTTTTTTTTTTTTTTTTTGAGACAAGGCCTCACTCTAACCCAGACCGGAGTGCAGTAGTGTCGTCACACTTCGCTGCAGTGTTGAAGCCCCAGGCTCAAACGATACTCCCACCTCAGCTTCCCAAGTAGCTGGGACTACAGGCACATGCCACCACACCAGTTACTTCTTCTTCTTCTTCTTCTTTCTTTTTTTACAGGGAATGTGTCTCATTATGCTGCCCAGGCTGTTCTTATACTCCTGGGCTCAAGTGGTCCTTCCATCTTGGTCTCCCAAAGTACTGGCATTACAGGCATGAGCCACCATGCCAGGCCAGCAGGAGGATTCTTGAAGAATGTGTAGGCACTGAGAATTTTCATATTGCTCCTTTATTGAAGTTTAGTCCTTCATTTCCTCTCCTTTCATCTGGAAACAACTTTCTTCAATTTTACCACAATACATGTGTTTGTGGTTTCAGGGATCAGTGACATTCAGGGATGTGGCCATCGACTTCTCTCAGGAGGAGTGGGAGTGCCTGCAGCCTGCTCAGAGGACCTTGTACAGGGATGTGATGCTGGAGAACTACAGCCACCTGATCTCACTGGGTGAGGTCCTCTGTCCCAGTTAATTTAGCATCTGTTCTCTGGAATATCAGCTTTTTTTCGCTGTGAATTTCAGGGCTATCTTTTAAGAGGTAGCTGAATTTCTTCTTCTTGTTCCCAAAGGAGTGATTTGAGATTTGTTGGGTTGAAAACAGGCATCTCCCTGGAGCCCCTACAACCTGCCTACTCCACAGTGGCCTTCTCCATTACGCTGGTCCTTTCTGTAATTGCCTCTCTCTCTTCATGACTGGGACTGAATTTGAAATATTGTATATTCATTGAATGGTATTGTTCAAGAACCATAACATCAAACATATTATGTTTGATCTCAGAATTACTGTAGATTTTCTCTGTTTGTTTGTTGGTTTTTGTTTTTCTGACCCACCTGTAAGCAGAAGAGTGTCTTGGGTTTTTCTATCAAAAGAGCCTCTATGATTGCTTGAGCCTGGGAGGTCAGTGCTGCAGAGAGCCATGGTCATGCCACATATTTCAGGCTGGGCAACAGAGCAAGACACTGTCTGAAAAAAAAAAAGCCTCAATGATTTACATATACTGACTGGGTTGACAGAAATAATTTAGCATTAAAGTGAATGCATTCCATTGCCTTCAACAAACATTCCATTACTTGTTTTGTAGTTGAAAGTTTCAGGTCATGAAGTGTATGTTTTTCTGTTGAGTGAATATTCTAAAAATGAGCTGTAAATGTCTAAGGATACAAAATAAATAACAACAATAAACACAATAATTGTTAACTTTGTGCTACTTCATATCAGGCAATGTTAGAAGTATTTACTTATATTATCTTATTTAATATTAGAATCAATCCTATAAAACAGGTATTATTATCATCCCTGTTTTACAGTAGGGAAAACTGAAGAACAGAGAGTTCAAGTGACTCGCTTAATGTCAAAGTGTTAGTGGGTGGCAGAGTCAGGATTTGAACTAGGCAATCAGGCTTGAAGGTTCCTGCTTTCAACTACTAAATTATACCTCCTCTTGAGGGATAAGATTCTATTATGAGTTTAAATGAAAGAAAGTTCTTTTTAAAAAAAAAAAAAAAACATAGTTGATCTCTTAATCCTCTCGCTCTTATCTGGAGCCTCTTCTCAATATTGTTTTGACTTGTAATTTATTATAAGTTTAACCAGGTCTCAAAGTTTAAAAAAATTTTTATACTAAGAAAATTCTACATGTATCATTTCTTTTCTTTTAAGCAGGAAGTTCCGTTTCTAAACCAGATGTGATTACGTTACTAGAGCAAGAGAAAGAGCCCTGGATGGTTGTAAGGAAAGAAACAAGCAGATGGTATACAGGTAAGTGAGAAAAGCAGGCAGGGGGAGGCCATCATTGTCCCAGTCAGCCCATGTGGTCAGAGAGGAGTCACACTTGTGAGATGTAGTTTGGAAAACTTAAGACCCAAGGCCTGTTGGATAAAAATGGTCAAGACCTGGGAAGGGAATTAAGATCATTGTAGGAGCTGTCCCTAAGGAACGTCATCATTCACTGATCACCTAATTTCTGTTATTTCCTTCCTCTTTTCATGTAGTGAGTTTCCTCTTTCTTTCCCAGCATAAACTTTAAACAGTTTTTAGAATTATATTTTAAGAGACAGCATCTTGTTATGTTGCCCTGGCTGGTCTTGAACTCTTAGCCTTAAGCAGTCTTCCTGCTTCAGCCTCCCAACTAGCTGGGATTCCAGGCATAAGCCCAATACTCCTGGCCCCCAGTGTAAACTCACTTGACCCCTAGTATAAACTTTTAACACATATTTTGGATCCAGCTACCTTCCAACTCTACTTTTGCATTTAGATTTCTATGTGTTTTCACTAAGAAATATATTAATATTCAGTAAGTATGTATGGAGTGCCCATTCCTAGAAGGCACTGTGCTTGGCTTTGTCAATACAGTAATGTATAGGTAATGAACAAGACTGAGAAAGTCACTGCTGTCATGGACTTTACCAGTAGTTGGTGAGACATGCATCAAACAAGTAAGCAAATGAATAAATAAGGAATAGAGAATTGTGCTATAGAGACAAGGCAATAGGAGTGATGGAGTGAGATGACAGCACTTGGCTGCTTAGGGTACTTGTGTTGAAGTGGGCATGCTTGCATAGAGATGTGAAGTAAGGGTTCAGTTCTCTAGTCAGAGTGAGCAGGAAACACAAAGATGAAGTAAGTGATGGAACAGTGGGAAGAGGTCTGAGAGTCAGGCCAGGGTCCATATCATATAGGGTTTTGACTGTCATTATGAGGAATGTGGGAAGTTCTCCAAGAGTTATTTATTTATTTTTAATTAATACCCAATATTTGTACATATTTATGGGATACATGTTATATTTCGTTATATGCATAGAAGGTGTAATGATCAACTGTCATGGTATTTGAGATATCTATCCAATCTACCAGAGGAATATTTATCATTTCTATATGATAGGAACATTTCAAGTTTTCTAGCTATTTTAAAATATACAATACATAGTTGTTAATTAGAGTCACTCCACTCTGTTAATGAACATTAGAAGTGATTCCTTCTATTTAACTGTGTATTTGTAACATTAACCAACCCCGCTTCGTTCCTTACCCCTCACCCACACACCCTTCCCAGCCTCTGGTTTCTATCATTCTGTTCTCTACCTCTGTGAGATCATCTTTTTTTAGCCCCCAGATATGAATGAGAACATGTGATACTTGTTTTTCTGACCTCCAGTTTGCCTCCATGTTGCTGCAAAGACATGATTTCATTTTTTAATGTCTATGCCATTGTGTATATATCACATTTTCTTTGTCTATTTTCTGTTGGCAGGAGGATTGCTTGATTCTGGGAGTTTGAGGCTGCAGTGAGCTATGATCATGCCACTGCACTATAGCTTGTATAACAGAGAGAAACCCTGTCTCTTAAAAAAAAAAATACAGTCCGGGTGCAGTGGCTCACGCTTGTAATCCCAACACTTTGAGAGGCCAGGGCAGGTGGGTCACCTGATGTCAGGAGTTCCTGACCAGCCTGGCCAACATGGTGAAAGCCCATCTTTTCTAAAAAATACAAAAATTAGCCGGGCATGGTGGCAGATGCCTATAATCCCAGCTACTCAGGAGGCTTAGGCAGGAGAATCACTTTAACCTGGGAGGTGAAGGTTGCAGTGAGCTGGGATCATGCCATTGCACCACAGCCTGGGTGACAAGAGTGAAACGCCCTCTCAAAAAAAAAAAAAAACAGCTTCTCTAGTTAAAAATTCTGATTCTGTACATCTGAGTTGCTTGAATATCAATATTTGTAATAAGCTTACCAAATGGTTTTGATTCACACCTAAATTTCACAAAATAAACCTTTCCCTTATGCACATCACCATCTTACCTAAACTTTCTTCATTACTGGCACTCTTTTACTTTTTCAGGTCCATGAAAGTATTATATTTTATACTTAGACCTTTTGTTTAATGGATTTTGTATGCATGTGTGTTATAGGAAAATAAACTCTGTTTGTCTTCTTCATTTCTTTCAGATTTGGAGTCAAAATGTGGACCTGAGAAAATATCTCCAGAAAATGATATTTCTGAAATAAATTTACCAAAACAGGTTATAAAGCAAATAAGTAAAACACTTGGCCTTGAGGCCTTTTATTTTAGAAATGTCTTAGAATATAGAAGTAGATTTGAGGGACTACAGGGACATCAAGAAGGATATATCAATATCAATCAGAAGATGATCAACTATGAAGAAATGCCGACTTATCCTCATGCTTCTCTTATTCACAATACACATAAACCATATGAATGTAAGGAATGTGGGAAATACTTTAGTTGTGGTTCACATCTTATTCAGCATCAAAGTATTCATACTGGAGAGAAACTCTATAAATGTAAAGAATGTGGGAAAGCCTTTCAACTTCACATACAACTTACTCGACATCAGAAATCTCATACTGGTGGGAAACCTTTTGAATGTAAGGAATGTGGAAAAGACTTTAATCTTTCCATCCAGCTTAATCGCCATAAGAACATTCACACAGGTGAGAAACTGTTTGAATGTAAGGAATGTGGGAAGTCCTTTAATCGTAGCTCAAACCTTACTCAGCATGAAAGTATTCATGCTGGTGTAAAACCTTATCAGTGTAAGGAGTGTGGGAAAGCCTTTAATCGTGGTTCAAATCTTATTCAGCATCAGAAAATTCATTCCAATGAGAAACCCTTTGTATGTAGGGAATGTGAGATGGCCTTTCGATATCAGTACCAACTTATTGAACATTGCCAAATTCATACTGGTGAGAAACCCTTTGAATGTAAAGAATGCAGGAAGGCCTTTACTCTTCTGACAAAGCTTGTTCGACATCAGAAGATTCATACAGGTGAGAAGCCCTTTGAATGTAGAGAATGTGGAAAGGCCTTTAGTCTTCTCAACCAGCTAAATCGCCATCAGAACATTCACACAGGTGAAAAACTATTTAAATGTAATGAATGTGGGAAGTCCTTCAACCGTAGCTCAAACCTTATCCAACATCAGAGTATTCATGCTGGTGTAAAACCATATGAATGTAAGGAGTGTGGGAAAGGTTTTACTCGTGGTGCAAATCTTATTCAGCATCAAAAAATTCATTCCAATGAGAAACCCTTTGTATGTAGGGAATGTAAGATGGCCTTTAGATATCATTACCAACTTATTCAACATTGCCAAATTCATACTGGTGGGAAGCCCTTTGAATGTAAAGAATGTGGAAAGGCCTTTAGTCTTCTGACACAGCTTGCTCGACATAAGAACATTCATACTGGTGAGAAACCATTTGAATGTAAAGACTGTGGGAAGGCCTTCAATCGTGGCTCAAACCTTGTTCAACATCAGAGTATTCACACTGGTGTGAAGCCCTATAAATGTAAGGAGTGTGGGAAGGCTTTTAGACTTCACCTACAGCTTTCTCAGCATCTGAAAACTCATGCAGGCGAGAAACCCTTTGAATGTAAGGAATGTGGGAAATTTTTTCGTCGTGGTTCAAATCTTAATCAGCATCGAAGTATTCATACCGGAAAGAAACCCTTCGAGTGTAAGAAATGTGGGAAAGCCTTTCGACTTCATATGCACCTTATTCGACATCAGAAATTGCATACTGGTGAGAAACCCTTTGAATGTAAGGACTGTGGCAAGGCCTTCAGTCTTCCCATCCAGCTTAATCGCCATAAGAAAATTCACTCAGGTAGGAAGCCATTTAAATGTAAGGAATGCGGGAAGTCCTTTAATCGTGTCTCGAACCTTGTTCAACATCAGAGTATTCATGCTGGTGTAAAACCATATGAATGTAAGGAGTGTGGGAAAGCCTTTAACCGTGGTTCAAACTTTATTCAGCATCAGAAAATTCATTCCAGTGAGAAACCCTTTGTATGTAAGGAATGTCAGAAAACCTTTAGATATCATTACCAGCTTATTGAACATTGCCGAATTCATACTGGTGAGAAACCCTTTGAATGTAAAGAATGTGGAAAAACCTTTAATTTTCTGACACAGCTTGCTCAACATCAGATTATTCATTCTGGTGAGAAGCCATTTAAATGTAAGGAGTGTGGGAAGGCCTTCACTTGGGGCTCAACCCTTGTTCAACCTCAGAGTATTCATACTGATGAGAAACTCTATGAATGTAAGGAGTGTGGGAAGGCTTTTAGACTTCACCTGCAACTTTCTTGGCATCAAAAACTTATACAAGTGAGAAACTCTTTGAATGTAAGGACTATGGAACAACCTTCAGATATCAGTACCAACTTACTGAACATCAGAAAATTCATACTAGGGTGAAAACCTTTGAATGTAAGGAATGTGGGAAGACCTTTTGATATCATTATCAATTTCTTGGACATTATGGAATTCATGCTGGTGAGAACCCTTACGAATGTCAAGAATGTGGGAAATGCTTTACTGGTGGTAGAAACCTTAGAGTACATCAGAGAATTAATACTGGTAAGAAAGCATATCAATGTGAAGAACGTGGGAAAGCCTTTAGTCATAGTTCAAATCTTGTTCAACATGTTAAAATTCATACTGATGAGAAACCCTATGAATGTAAGGAATGTGAAAAGGGCTTTTGTAGTAATTACGAACTTACTCTACATCTAAGAATCCATATTGCTCAGAAACCCTGTGAATGTAAGGAATGTGAGAAAACTTAGATTTTGCTCAGTCTTTACTGCACATCAAAGAATTTATACTAGTATGAACCCTATGAATGTAAAGAATGTGGAAAGACCTTTAGTTGTAGCTTGAGCGTTGTTCAACATGTTAAACTTCATACTGGTGAGCAACCCTGTGAATGTGAATGTAAAGGATGTGGGAAGACCTTTAGACTTGGTTCAGTCGTTTCTGCACATCACAGAATTCATACTGGCATGAAACCCTATGAATGTAAAGAACATGGGCAAGCCTTTACTGTAAATGGTCAGCTTACTCGACATCAGAAAATTCGTAATAGTTAGAAGTTTTGTGAATATAAGGAGTGTGGACAAGCCTCCACTGTGTATGAAAAATTTACTCAACACCAGAAAATTCACATTAATGAGAAATCCTGTGAACATAAAAGAATGTGTGAAGAACTTTCATCATGGCGTGGGATTTGCTCAACATCAGAGTATTCATACTGCTGAGAAATCTTTTGAGTTTAAGAATGTGGGATGTTTTATAGCCACACTAAATGCCTTAGAGTTCAGAGAAGATAATTTTGGTGAGAAAGATTGACAAGAGGAATGTAGAGTAACTGCCATGTTCACAGTTTACTGCCCATGAAGTGTTTTACTGGATTCAGGCATACCTTGCTTAATTGTTCATTGTAGTTACTGCATTTTATACACATTGAAGGTTTGCAGCAACCCTGCAGTGAATAAGTCAATCAGCACCATTTTCCAAACAGCATGTGCACATCTTGTGTCTTTGTGTCACACTTTAGTAGTTTTTATAATATTTCAAACTTTTTCATTGTTATATCTGTTATGGTGATCTATGACCAGTGTTTTCTGATGTTACTAGTGTGATTGTTTTGGGATACCACAAATCCTGCCCATAAAAGATGGTGAACCTAGTTGACAATTGTTGCAGATTTTGAAAGATAGTAAAATATACATCCATATACCCCCACTTAGATTCAAAATTGTTAATGTTTATTTTTTGTATATTTGTTGTACCATGGAGAATAAATTTTAGACATCATCACACTTTAACCTTATTACATCAGCATGTGTATTACCCAAACATAAAGACAATATCATATAGCCATAGTACCATAATTACCCTTAAGGATAAGATTCATAATTCTGTAATATTCTCTTTAGATTTCTTCATTGGCCTGTAAACTATCTTTTATAGCTATTCTTTTTTTTTTTTTTTTTGAGACGGAGTTTCACTCTTGTTACCCAGGCTGGAGTGCAATGGCGTGATCTCGGCTCACCACAACCTCCACCTCCTGGGTTCAAGCAGTTCTCCTGCCTCAGCCTCCCGAGTAGCTGGGACTACAGGCATGCGCCACCATGCCCAGCTAATTTTTGTATTTTTAGTAGAGACGGGGTTTCACCATGTTGACCAGAATGGTCTCGATCTCTTGACCTTGTGATCCACCTGCCTTGGCCTCCCAAAGTGCTGGGATTACAGGCATAAGCCACTGCGCCTGGCCTGCTATTCATTTTCTAAGGAGAATCCATTGCAGATTCTGCATTGCATCTGGTTATCTCTCTTTAGTGTATTGTAGCCTGGAAACCATATGAATGTATGCTCTCAAATTATAGTGGGTATCAGAATCACCTGTGGAACTTAGTAAAACTACAGAAGTGTAACCCTACCTTATAAGCCTGGGCCTCTGTGTTTTTATATTATTTATCCAGGTGATTGTGATACCAACCAGAGTTAGAGAGCCACTGGTCTAGAACATTTCTCCTCCTTTAAAAAAAAAAAATGACATTGAATTTTGAGTTGCCCAGAAATGTTGTCTGCTATGTGTTTAGATTTCTTTCTTTATAGTGTCCTTTAGCCTTGTTCTTGGTTGTGTTTTCTGTACAACAGAATGTAAGTCCACAGGCTTGTTAGGTCCAGATTAAACGTTTTAGGGAAGAATACTTTGTAGATTATTTGTTTGTCATATTTTACTGTCAGAAAACATTTAAGTACAGGTCCTTACATTAGTAAAACTAAGGATGATCATTTGGGTAAGTTGGTAGCTGCCATAAGTCCATTGTAAAGATTTAGTTTGTAGTGGGTAAGTAATCTATGGAGAGACTTTGTCATCTCTGAAAATTTATAGTCATGTGTATTTAAGCCCTGAATTGGATACAAAATGAAAATTGAAATAGACTATTGAGAAATGAATGCCATTAAAGCATCAACATAATTCAACTTGTATGATATGGCTGACAGTGTCCTCAATACAAAATTGGCACCCTTCAGATTATACAGGGGATTGTTTTGTCTGGAGCATTTTTTTTTTTTTTTTTTTTTTTTGGTTCAGCATGTATCATTAGCACCTATGCGATGGGCTGGTACATGAGTTGTTGATAAACTTTGAAAAAAAATTAAGCCTTTAAATCAAGCTATAAAACATGATTCCATTAGTCTGGGTGCAGTGGCTCACACCTGTAATTCCAGCACTTTGGGAGGCCGAGGTGGACAGATCACCTGAGGTCAAGAGTTTGAGAACAGCCTGGCCAACATGTAAAAACCCATCTCTACTAAAATTACAAAAATTAGCTGGATGTGGTGGCGGGTGCCTGTAATCCCAGTTACTTGGGAGGCTGAGGCAGGAGAATCACCCAAACTCGGAAGGTGGAGTTTGCAGTGAGCTGAGACCACACCACTGCTCTCCAGCCTGAGTGACAGAGTGAGACTGCATCCCAAAACAACAACCCAAAAAACTCCAAAACAAAACATGACACCATTGTGGCATTATGAATTAGATTAATTTTTTTAAGATTAAGAATAATCCTTTGTGACTTTATTCCACTGTATTAAAACATTTGTAAAGTGATCATTTGTATTGATGGCTTTCTTCTTTTTGTGAATATATCCTGGTCAAATTATTCTTTTGATAGACTACTTAATTTTTTTTTTTTTTTTTTTTTGAGACGGAGTTTCGCTCTTATTACCCAGGCTGGAGTGCAATGGTGCGATCTCGGCTCACCGCAACCTCCGCCTCCTGGGTTCAGGCAATTCTCCTGCCTCAGCCTCCTGAGTAGCTGGGATTACAGGCACGCGCCACCATGCCCAGCTAATTTTTTGTATTTTTAGTAGAGACGGGGTTTCACCTTGTTGACCAGGATGGTCTCGATCTCTTGACCTCGTGATCCACCCGTCTCGGCCTCCCAAAGTGCTGGGATTACAGGCTTGAGCCACCGCGCCCGGCCCTAATAAGGCCTTTTCTTTTCTTTTTTTTGGTAGAGATGGGGTTTCACCATGTTGACCATGGCCAGTCTCGATCTATTGACCTGTGATCCACCCGCCTTGGCCTCCCAAAGTGCTGGGATTATAGGCGTGAGCCACGGCGCCTGGCCAATGTTCCTATTTTTTATTTCCAGTTTCATCTTTTTCTGTATTCATTCTCTTGAACTTTCTTCTTTGACCTCAGAAGATTCCCTGGGTATTAACCCAGCACAACTCCTTTATGGATCATTGCACATCCCGGTAGTATTATTAAGAATTGTCATACAAGAAAGATCCCTGGCAGCCTTTCAATGAAACTCTATCATCACGCAATCTTGGCAGTACTATGTTGGAAGTCAGAGTCCCTTTGCAAACATAATAAAATACTTCATTTGCTAAAATTACAAACCAAGTATGCACAAATTTAAAAATCACAGCCGGGCATGGTGGCTCACACCTGTAATCCCCAACTTAAAATGGTTTGACTTACAATGTTCAGCTTTATTATGGTACAAAAGTGATAATGCTGCTATAGTTTGGCTACTTTTCCCCTCCAAATCTCATGTTGAAGTTTGATCCCAGTGTTGGAGGTAGGGCCTAATTGGAGGTGTTTGGGTCATGAGGGAAGATCCCTCATGAATAAATTAATGTCCTCTCTGGATTGGGGGGTGAGTTATTACTTTATTAGTTGCTCTGGGAGCTGGTTGTTCAGAAGAGCCTGACACCTCCTTCCTCACCCTCTTGCTTCCTCTCTTGGTATGTGATGTGTGCATACACTGCCCCCTTCATCTTCTGCCACAAGTGTAAGCAGCCTGAGGCTCTTACCAGAAGCAGAATCTGTACATGATTCTTGTACATCCTGCAGAACCGCAAGCCAAATAAACCTCTTTATTAATTACCCAGCCTCAGATATTCCTTTATAGTAACACAAAATGGAGTAAGAAATAGTCAGAGTATGCTCCTCAACTTAAAATGGGGCTGTGTCTAGATTAACCCATTGTTAAGTTGGAAATATTGTAGGTTATAAACGCACACTTGGAATATCATATTTTCAATTTATGATGGGTTTATTTGTATATAACCCCATCATAAATTGAGAAGGATCTGCAGTAATTATGACAATTTGATGCTCAAATTGACATAATGGGGCCAGTAGGAATCCATTTACATTTGTTTGGGTTTTTTGGTTTTTCTTTTACTTCTTTTTTTCTTTTGACTTCTTAAAGGAATATTGTTTTCAGGTCATAAGAAGATGTTTTAGACTGATCCTGTTTGTTGGTTCATGTCCCCATGCCTCTTGTCCTGAGTAATGGAATCAACTCATTATTCAATACCTTCTTATCTTAGGGAGTCCTGGTTCCTTTTAGAGGAAAAGAACATTAGAGACCAAAAAATCTGGCTGCTGTGGGTGCACATGGCAGTTATAGGTATGGAAAAAGATGCTGCTTTTATTAGAATTATTTTAATGGTTTCAGGGTTGAAAATGGTCATCATAAGGTGAGAAGTTCACTCTGATTTTTCTTAACTTACATTTCTATGATCTGCTTTTTGCATTTGGGATTTCATTGAATTAAAAGGTTTTATGTATGGTGATAGCTGATGTTTATTTCCTGTTAAGACCTGTCTGAAATGATAAATTAATTTGCCTCCCATTTTTGGAGATACTGCTCTGATTCAAATTTGTCATGGTGTTTCTGAGCAGCATTGTGAAGAAGTTGTTTTAGAACATTCAATAGTAGATGATATCTTGAATGTTCATAGACTCCCTAGAAAAGAAGAAAAAGTAGACACAAGATTTCTGTCATCCTTTTACAGGATATTGTGATCATCCAGTTTGGGGTATGAGGGATAAGGGACCCATGTGTCTTAATTTCCAGAATCACATTCCATTTCAATGAGTCTTCTGCACAAATGTGGTCTCAGGGATTCATTGTCTTTGTTACTGATCAAACTGAAACCATCTCCATGGGTTCCTCAGTGGATCAGAATCTGCTATTTATTAGGCCCCCATATTCATTCTACCCTGCTTCTAGGAATATAGAATCAGTAATTTTTATTAACTCTTGGCCATGACCATCTAGAATAAGGACTGTATTTATTTCTCCAAGGTGTCATGTGACATAACTTATGGCAAGTAGGATATAAGTGAATATTTTGGCAATTCTGGAAACCTCTTAAAAAACTGGCTTAATACATTAGTATTTGAGAAATCCAGGTGAAGGGTATCCAGAAATTCTTTACTATTCTTCCAAGTTCTGTGTAAGTCTGAGCGCTCATTCCATTCTGATGCCAGAATGGTAAAATTCATGATTGATTTGGAGCAAGGCCACAATATCAGGCTTACATCCATACAATATGGTTGAGAAATTAACTTTTATCTTTTTGATCAACTTTAATTTGGGGCAGTTTTACTATTTTACTCACAACCAAATTTAATCTTAAATGATACAACCAGATTGTCACATGTTTAAAGTAGTAACAGTCAACATATCCTTCTGTGTTCTCTAAGTCAAAAGCACTGATCTATAGAGAACAGAGTATCCCATGTATGTTGTCATGTACTTATCCCACACCCTATTGAAATCACAGTACCCAAAAGGGAGACATTTTTTCTTCAAGAATATATGTTTCTGCCACATCTATGATTCTCCAGAATGAGATGACAGAAAATGCTA